AAACTTCTATAGGTACCTCAATAAAAGGAAGAGTGGGGGAAATGTGGGTCCTCTCAGGAAGGAGAGGGGGACGTGGCTGCCCAGGACATGCCCAAATCTGAGGGAAGCAGTGGTGGTTTTGCCCCCATCTGCAGCCCCACGTGCTCCAGCCACTCTGCCCACCCCGCAGAAGGCAAAGGCACTGGGAGGATGAAGAACCAGCTGCTGGGGGGAAGATCAGGTTCGAGACCATCTGAGGAAGCTGAAGGTGCACAAGTCCATGGGAACCGATGAGATGCATCCACAGATCCTGAGGGAACTGCTGGAGAACATTGCTAAGCCACTATTCACCATACTTCAGAAGTCATGGCAATGCAGCAAAGTTCCCTCTGATGGGGAGACAGGATGCTCAGTCTCACCTCTGTGCTGGGCAAGATCATGGGACACATACTTTTGGAAACTCTGCTAAGGCACAGCAAAAATAGGAAGGTGCTTGGTGACAGCCAACAGGGAATTGTGGTCAGTGGCTGGGCTCAGTGTCCAAGTGGAGACCAGTGCTCAGTCCCCCAAAAGCTGCTACTCAGAAGCAGCACTTGAGGCTGAGAAAATATATTAATTTATTGGAGGCTGGGAGAGAATTCTATGTGCATCCACATTCTTACACTCTTCCTTAAACATCTGCCAGTCTCCAGTTTGGGAGACAGAATGCTTTTGATTTAACTCTTTGGTTATGTCCTTATAACTGGATTTTTTTTTCTTTCTTCTTTTTTTTTTGATCAGTTTTTCTATTTTATTCTGTATTTGTCATAAATCGGTTTCGCTCTGTGCAACTACCACTACAGATTATTGTTTCTCAACTTGTGATGGAAAACAAGTCACTGTAGTCCATTTCCACCCATATAAGAAGGTACACAGGCTGATTTAAACATCTCCCTTGTTTCAGGGCATAAATAAATGTCTCTGAGGGTAACCAGCTATCCTAACAATGCCTAGTGAATCCCAGTTTGGGAGCATTAAGAACAAGCTTTTCTCTAAAGCAACATATGTGAACACTTGCAATGTTTGCAATGACCTGATCCGTAACTCATGAGGCTTATTGTTTGATAACCACAAGAATTACAAACTTGAGGCTGATGGAATAATTTCTGCTTCACATTTAGGAAATATCTTTAATAAGCTTTCCATCAGTTTATAAACACTGGTAGAGATTTTCCTAATATTCAGCCACTGAGAAATCAGGAAAAACGCACATGAACATTATAATCAATATTAGTCAGGTAGCAGGATATTCTCTTTCAAGGCATAACCTTTTAGATGAAGCTTTACCATTGATCTCTAAAGTCAGCATTTTCCCCCTGCCACTCCCACTGGCTGAGCTGCAGCAGGGCCAATCTCCCCAGTACACTCAGGTGACAGGATGCTCCAGAAGGGCTGTCAGGGCAGGAGAGGGAACAGTAACTGTGTTCTCATGTAGATCGGCTGCTGGGGGTGTGTTACAGATTAAAATAGGGGCTCAGCCACGCTCCCCAAACCCTTCCTGGAGTGCACAGTATCAGGCCTCTATTTCTGTGGTATTGAACTAAGACTTTCGGGTCAATCTGGAAGCATCCTAAGGCTTTCACCAAGCTTTTAATTCCTGGATTATTTTCTTCTGGCTGAAGTTTCCCTTCTGCTTCCCTTTTGTTTGCTATTAATGCTCCATCTCTTCTGGGAGGGCGACTCAGAGTTAATCAGCTCATCTATTCTGAGGCAGTGCAGCCCGGGCCAGGCCAGCAGGCACTGCAGGAACCCCCGGCTGTCCTCGGGGGCTTCGCTGGCCCCGCTGCCCTGTCACTGGGACACAATTACCACCGACCAGCGGGCCCCCTGCAGACAGGGGCACCAGCAGCACCACGCACAAAATGGGACCGGGGGGACCTAATGAGCTGCTTGTTTACATAAGTACACCAGGTAAAGCAGGGGAAAAAAACCACTCCACAGCTTGGAACACAAATTAGGCAGATAGAGAGAAGAACTCCCTGCACTTGAACAGGAACATCTACATCATGTTTAACATTTTTGTTTTCCCGTCGGCTTTTGCAGAGAAAATACAGTTTTCACGATTTGAATAAATATTTAAATATTCAGCACCTATTTAGTTGAAATTTTGAATGAATGCTCCTATTTTATTATTGACATTTGGAGAGTACAAGCCGTGTTCTGTACTCTGCATTCTGGAATACACCTGACTTTGCTTGTTTCATATACACAAAATAAAGTGGAGTGCACATACAAATTCCATATTGAGAGTCCGCTTTATCCTTTAACTAGAATAAATTCTGGACACTCATCCTCTTGTCACCTTTCTGGTTTCCTCTGACCTTGCATTACCAGATTTACAAGCTCACATCTGTTTTATTAGGCACTCTTTTAAACTGGAGTTTCCACAGAATGAATTTGCAATGCTCGTGTTGCCAGACCCATTGCTGCATCTTCTGCAGCAAGGACAGAACCTTATAATTTCCATACACATTCCCATTTATTTTTATTAATCTAACTCTTTATTAACTGTGAGCTTGAGGTAGGTCATCCTCTTCTTGAAACACACAACCATATTGTTTTCAGACTGACTGTCTCATGCTTATCACATAACCTATGTGCCTGTGACACTTCCTGCTCAGAAGTTCAGGCATACACCTGCACAAGACCCAGGATCACTCACCTACAAAATAGATATTTCACCGAGACATATTTAAATGAAGTTACCAAACACTAATTTTGCAGCCATTTTTCCTGGCATTTGTTAGTTATCAACCACTATCAGTTAGTTCATCCACCACCTCAGCTATCCAGTCCAGTTCTCAAAATCCAACTTTTATACCCTATTTTTCCCCCCTATGGGGTGAATGCATACTTGTTAACCACTCATTTACTCTGTGAGAGGATTTAAATTGCCCATTTGAATCACCCAGCACTTTATTCCTTAGTATGTCCGGTCTAAAAACCATCAAATATAAACCAGCCTACTACTCTTGCACACTACATTATCCACATTAAACATTCACTAGATCTGTTCATATTAATAAATCTACCAAATCCTTAAAATGCACACTAAACAGAACAGAGCAAAACTAAAACTGTGAGTCTGTGGCTTTACCTCTTAAATTTAAGGGCAATCCCTGTTCCAAAAAGGGTGATGAAATTTAAGAAACTCTCTTAGCCACTCCCAAAATGTTGTCATTTCAGACTGCATCAGCATTGTATTTACCAGCTTCCCTATTTTTAGCTCATTACTGACCATGGGTTTTTTTTTTCGCTTTTGTAACCAATTTTAACGATATTTTTACGAACTTACCTTCATCTGACCATTATAGGTATAACCCCTAGTGCACTGATTGGTTCAGTTACAACACTCATGGTCTGAACACAGTAATTTCGGTTACAAAGCTCCTTCACATGGCTGCGGGTACTGGTGTGTGAGACAGGGAACACCAGCCCAGACCAAACAGTAATTCAGGACGGGGCACAGGTCCATCCACAGCACTGCTCCAGGCAGGGCTGACACCCAGCTCCTGTGGCAGAGCTGGGGGTGGAAGCACCTCATCCCGAGTACTCAGACTAGCGCTAGAAACACTCCTCCTCATCTGCCCAAACATCTCTTCGACTTACTGTAACTGTGAACAAATCCTCCAGGACTTTTTGCATAAATGTTTAACATGTTTTATATTTACTACTTGAACGAGGGTGGTATGATTTCTCCCACCCAGCCTCTCTGGGGAGCAAATGGGATATTAAAGTATCTCAAACGGGATATCCTCTCTCTCTCCCATCTTTCTAGGTGACCAGACTCCTCAGCCAAGCACTTGGCTTCCACAGTGATTTGCAGTTTAGAGGCCTTCTTAAGCCAAATTTCCATATCTTTCATTCCTCACTGCAGATCACCCCCAACTCTAAATAAAGTTAGAAATTTCTAAATTATGTTAGAAATTCTCCAAACCTTCCTGAAAACTTCTTGTAAAACATGTTTAATAAAATCGTTGGGTACCTGTTTGTTCTTGTTGGCCAACTCCAACACGAGCTGTCTGTCTGTGGTTTTTGAGCCGTGTTTCCAGCAGACTGCATTCCATCTCTCCTGCACTTTCTGAGTAGCCTCCAGTCCCCTTTATGACCCTGCTTGGGCTGGTGATCCTTTCTAGGTCCTTCCTGGTCTCCGTGCTCGGCAGTGCACAATGTTCTGTGGCAGCTCTGCGAGGGCAGCGCTCACTGCTCCTGTCTGCGCCTTTTTCCTCTGGCTCCTGCAGTCCCCGGGCACCGCATGAGCGGCGATACCTGGGCTCGGGATATGCTGGCAAGGCCTGTCCGAGGGTCTCTCACGACTCGGTCCCACTGGCGGGCAGGAAGGTGAGTCCTGCCCAGCCCCGGGTCATCCGGGCTGCCCTTCAGCCGCTGAGGAGCCCTGAGGGGAGCGGGCCCGTCCCGCCTAAACCTCCCTGAGAGGATCGGGGCTCCCGCCTAACTGTCCCTGAGGGGAGCGGGCCCGTCCCGCCTAAACCTCCCTGAGGGGATCGGGGCTCCCGCCCAACTGTCCCTGAGGGGAGCGCGGCCCCGGGCGGGGCGGGAGTGCCCAGCGCTGCCATCGCGGATCCCCTGCGTTCCCGCTCACAGAGCCGCTGGATGGGTCAGGCTGGAAGGGCACCCTGCGGCTCCGCTGGTCGAACATCCCTGCTGCAGCACGGCCATGCCGGCGCACGTGGCACAGGACTGAGTCCAGAAGGTTCTGGAACATCCCCAGCGAGGCAGACTCCGCGCCCGCTCTGGGCAATCTGTCGCAGCGCGCGGTCACTCGCACAGGGAAGAAGTTCTTCCCCACGTTCAGGCGGGACTCGCGCGTGCACCACTTTGTGGCCCGCTGCCCGTTTTCCTGCCGCCCGGCACGGGAGCAGAGCGCGGAGCCCGCGCGGGCGCTCCTCAGCCGCGGCCGCGCCGCACTACAGCTCCGGCAGCCCCCGCGCCGTGACTCGGCCGGGGCGCCGCGGGCGGGCCGGGATGGAAGTGAAGGGGCGAGCGGCGGAACAGAGCGCGGCCCTCGGCCCCGGCCCTGCCTCGCTCCACACGGGTCTATGCGGCCCCCCCGGAGACCATGGGATCCAGGATCAAGTGAGTGTCCCCGCGGCTCTGCGGCCCCGCTCCGGGCCTCGCGGAGCGAGAAGGGGACTGACTTCCCCCCTCCCTGCGCTCGCGGGAGAGGCCCCGCGCGGGCGGGACCCCGCCGAGCCCGCGGGCCCCGGGCAGGGCGAGGAGGGGGACAGGGAAGGGGCAGAGCGCTCCCGGCCCGCGGGGCCCGGCACGGGCAGGACGGGCCGTGAGAGCGCCGACCCCGGCGGGACCCCCGGCCTGCCGGGACGGGGCGAGATCCGGCCGTGCCTCACACCCACCCACCCGGCACCGCCGCCCGCGGGCCGGGCGGGAGCGCAGCGCGGCGTTATCGCTGCGGGCTGGGCAGGGCGGGGGGCCGCGCTGGGAACATCTCCACGGCCGGCACCGGCGGCGTCCGGGGGCGGGGAGCGGTCCGGGGAGCTCAGAGCTCTTTGGCCAGGTCAGAGTGCGCTCGTGGAAGTACCGCGGTCTGTCCGGGAGACCTTCAGACTGCCTCGGCAGAGGGGCTTGGGGGAAGGAGAAGAGTGGTGCGAGTGAGGGATGTGTTGGGCCTGCAGATCCATGCTCTCAATGTTTTTTTAGTTTTCAAAAAACTGGTGGTTGATTTATTGTTAAGCCCTGTTGGTATGTTTGGTATTGTCACGTTAAAGGTCTCAGTTCATTCATATGCCATTTCCAGGAAAATTCAGTTCCTCCGAGACAGGCAAAGGTGTAATGAAGCCATCACCAAGCAGGGAGTGCTGACATCTCTGTGTGTGAAAGGGTGATAGAGGGGAGAGACCCAGTCAGGTTCTGGTTTATTCAACAGTTTCAGCAGGTGCTGTTGAGCAATTGTTCTTCCTTCTTGAACACAGTGATCTTCAAGATTACCTGGAGCTTTAACTTTTCCCTTCTTTTGTTTAAGTTGAATACAGGACTAGAGGGGACATAGTTTGTGTGATGACACATCTTCACGTTCCCAAGCCCACGGGCTGGATAGAAATACACGTGTGTTTGTTCAGCCAGGTGTTTTAGGAACGTGTAAGTGGATAATGAATGTTTATAACAATGGCACTGAGGCAATTGGTTGGTTCCAGAAAGCCTTCCTTGGGCAAACTGTGGGCATTAGCTTTGCACTTTTTTGGCATATGTGTTCTCAGCTGTTGCTACAAAGAAATCAAAGCTTTAGAAACTAGTGAAACTCTTACAGTCAAGTACAGGTCTAAGACTGCTGGTATTTTTGGCAGCAGAGCAGGCTGCATCTCTAACCTGTGCCTTCAGATCTCGCAGTGGTCACCCTTGCTTGAATCACTTCAAGTTCATGGTTCAAAATGACTCCTTAGGATGACCTTATCTTAAATCTATTCAAAGGTTGATACTTACTTTAAATGCAGAGGAGTTTTGTGTGCATACTGAATCCATAAGCTGTGTTTACCATCTTTGGGTTTGTGATTGCTAGTTGGAATTCAGCCTTTGAGTAGACTTTGCTGAATGAGAATGCCATCAGGCAGGGGAGATGCTCCAACCAGAAACTGGTGTCAGGGAGGAGACGTAGCCATTAGAAATGTTTAGTGCAGCCAGTGGACTTTAGGACTTTTTCTGTGCAAATTCCTTCAGTGTGAACTTGTCTTTCAAGACTGCAGATAAAACCCATGTCTTTCCCAGTTACCAGGAAAACACAGGTGATAACCCCAGATAAACACTACTTTTCATTCTTCTTGGACTTTGTGAGAAAGCATTTTGGCCATTGAGTGATTAAGCAACTTTGCCTTGAGCTACACTTAATAAATTGCTTTTTTCTGTTTTGGACAGAACACTGTGCCCAACTAGAGTAAGGGCAAAACTTCAAACCAATCTTGAAGTATATTAAGAATGAGAGAGCCTGTCTGAGTAAGAGGCTTTTTTGGTTTGCTTTTCTGAGCTGGATGTTTAATCCAGTGAAGATTTTAAAGTTGGTAAGTAGCTCCCTTATTGGGGCACGTTGGGAGTGTGAATGAGAAAACTGTTTGATAATTGGGTGTGCTGAGGGACATCTCCTTTAGGGGTGTCACCAATATGTGCTGGAGCCCCAGTAAAAAACCAGTCCTGAGATCTCTTGCTTCCTGCAGTAGATTGATAACTGTGAGGGTTATTACTCTCTTGGCACGGGATCCCTTGCACACACTGTGATAGACTGCAGGGAACCCGGGCATATCTGTCAGTGAGATTGCTGATGGGTGCATAATAATGAGTCATCTGAGTGAGAGATTGCTCAGAGAAAAGTATCAGTGGCTGCATCAGACTGAAGTGAAAGAAATCAAGGAATTGCCAGCAGTCCTGTGAGCTCTTGGCTTCTGTGTAGCTGCAGGCGAGAAAGCAGGTACAGTGAGTGTTTGGGTGTTGGGTTACAGAGCTGGGGTAATCTGTGTAGGAGCCTGGCCCAGAACGTGCCAGCGCTCGTGCCAGCCGGGGAGGGAGGACACAGGATATAGGCTATAGGATAGCAGCCTCATTAACCTGCTGTATCACTGCTCCATAGCCTTTGTACTCCACCTGCCAGCACAGAAAGGATCCTTGCTTGCTTTGCTTTAAATAAGGTGTCAGTAGCAATCTGTTCAGCAGAATTCCTCCCCCTGTGACAACGCTGGGCATGTTCCTTTCCAGGGTGGTTGTGTCTCACTGCTGACACAGGAGATACCCCATGTACACCTGGGAAAGCTTTCAGATATTTAACAGAAAGTTTGCCACATGCTAAGATGGGATATTATCTGCCTAGGGAATACCAGGCAGAAGAAGTTAAATATATGGAAGTTAATCAAGGCTTCAGTTGCAATCTCTGAATTGAATTAGCCATTACAGATTTCTGCTAATAATTTTATTTCTGCGAGAGTTGAGCAAGTAATCTTGTTACAAGACAACTAATTATCAGGCAGTGTCAGGCTCCTCTCATGCCTCAATTTTTAAGTAGAATGATACTTTCTGTCATAAGTGCTATTACACTGGGAAAAAATGCTCCTGACAGAACTGAAATAGGCTGTAGGTATGTAAGATATGTGCTTCCATCATACAGCTTTGGAGCAGGACTTGGTTTGATTTTATTCTGCATAAATCTCTTACAGTTTGGTAAAAACTAAAATTTTTCATAGTAAAAGGTACATAAATACTTTATTTGAAATATTATGTTACTTCAACTTAAAATTGAATTTCTTATTGATTGCTTAGAAGTTATTTCTACGTCCGAGATTTGAAGTAATTCATACAAGTGGCATTTATCACAGAAGCATTATTTCCTCATACAGCTCCTTCCTAAATTTCTATTTGCAAAGGAGTATTGCATTTCCTCCTGAAATTATCCAATTCTCAAATAAAGGAGTGTGGTGGGTTGACCATCTCAGGCAGACCCAATACAATGAGGTACTTATGTATTTTTGTACATAGGTGTCCTATGCTTTTTCTTTTTTATTGCATCTGTATATTCACTTGATAAGTGACTGAGGGTCTGTGAGTGATTTTGGGGAGGAAAGCAAACTCAGTGTGTGTGTTTAGGGCTCTGCTGCTGTGGAGGGTTGCAGGGGGTTGAGGTCTCAGTGCCAGGCACAGGTGGCATTGGATGTCTGCAGGTCAGTTTAACAGTCATAAAAGTGGACTGCAGAATATCCACATTATGATCATGTTTATGCTGTATTTGCAAACTGTATGAAGTCTCACAGTGACTTGTTTCCTTAATTCCACTGCAAAGTTATAAACTATCCCCAGTCCAACAATGGCTTCATTCTCATACTGAGGTGTTGGTTGTTGAATGCAGCCTTTAATACCGAGTTTCTCACTTGGCAAAGCTACCTCAGTTTCACTGTTCATAGAAATCAATGGACATTTGTCAGGGAAAATTAAAATACAAAATGTAATGTCTTTTTGTCTGAAAGTTTTGGTGTAGTCTGTGCTCCTGGCAGCTGTGTGACACAGTGCTTTCACTAAGGAACTGGAACACGGGCTCTAACATAATACTAAAAGGGTGTTTGTTATTTTAACCATTAGCTGTAAAAATATTATAAAATTCATAAACTTTTAATTAAGGAAACAGGGTGCTAAAAATAAAGACACAGACAAGGAGGGTATGATAAGGCTGCACAGCAGTATGTGTGAAAGGAAAAATACATTTCTGTGGCTAGGGGATATCATTCCATCCTCATCCTGTACCATGATTGCTGGAATGTGGCTAAACCCCAGTATTTGCAGCAGATTATGGGCAGCAACTCGAGTAGCACAGCGAGAATTGTGCAAGTTTGGTTTATATTGCACAATAACAGCTGACTTTGGATTTCTCATAACCTACGAATGCAGTTTTCTGAAAAAGAAAAAAACCCAGCTACTTAAGACAAATCAGTTGGGAACTGGTGGCAAATTAAATTACCATTAATTGAATTGTGAGCCATTGTTGCTCCTGAGAGGTGCTCTGTAAAACTGAGGAGTGTGATCCTGTGCTACTGAAAGCAGTGGGGGCTTTTCTGTCGGTTTAAATAGGTGTGGGGTTTGGCTTAGAGCCACTTGAGTTAGACTAAATGGGCCTGTGGCACGGTTAGAAATGTTTTCCTTAATCCCTTTTGCTGTTAAAGTAGGATTAAAAATAATAGAAATTCTCTGAGGAGTAAGCTGAACTCCTCGACATGTTTGTCTGTTTGGTTTCAGATGCTGGGTAAGATGAGTTTAATTTTTTAGGTTACTGTTCAGTTAGGAATTCTAGCATATGTATTTGTGGGTCTTGTCATTATTTTTGTCCTTAGCTGTGAGGGAGTTACAAAATTCACAAGTTAATTATACCTCAGCAATTTTCTAATGTTAGATCGTTTGCATTAACACATAGGACACAACATTATCACTATACAGCCATAAATTTGGAGCAGTAATTATGCAATTTTGATTCTTGACTTTAACCAGAAAGTCTAAGAATAAAGTGTCACATGTTCAGACCTGCAAAATCCTTATTTCAGTAACTTAACAATTACAGTGTAATGTGTGATTCTCTTTAATCTCATAACAAATTTCTGGAGTAGCTAAAATTGTTAGTCAGGGACTAACTCAAAATATTCTTTCTTATTTAATCACCTGCTGCCTTTGCATCCTCATTACATTGTGAAATGTAATTCCAGAGCATCACTCATGGAGTTACATCAGTAAGGACTGAAAATATACACTAAATGGCTTGTTTGTTTGTTTTGAAGTAATGTCATCAACTTTTTACTTTTAGCACTGGTGAATTTATAAATCTTGCACAGAGTATGTCTCTTTCCTCAAGCTTTATTTATGTTTTGTAGCTCAGTTTGGTGTTGGTTTTGACTATTGTATTTCCTTGCATCTGGCAAATTTCTGGATTCAAGGCCCTGGAGTCTCAGGAGGCCAAACCTTGTGCATTTGTAATATTGTCCAGCACGACCTTTTTTTGACAGAGATAGAAATATTTTGGCAGGTATTAAGAAGGGGAAGTGTCTTCACCCCAAATACAGCTGCTTAACTTTCTCAGTGGTGTGTGCATGAAATGACTTCACCTCCTCTTGGCTGCAGCTTCTTTATTTTCCCTTCTTCCTGGGCAAGTAGGTGTCATGAAGTTGAACTCAAGGGTCACAGTAATGAAAATGTGAATCTGGGTTGTTTGTTCCTTGTTGGACAATGTGACTGTTTTCAGTTTGGTGAAAAGAGTATCCAGGATTTTTTTTTTTTCCCTGAAAAAAATCCCTGTGTTTAGCACAAAGGTGATTTAATTTGTCATTTGGAAATAAAGGTGAGGTGAAAAGAACTTGCTTTTCTAAGTTGCACATGTGATAAAATGTACTGCTGTGGGCAAGAACTGGCCTAACCTGTCTCTGTGTGTGAGCCCCATTCTGACAGGTGAGATCAGGGATGGGGTTTCCCTGGCTCTGTGACTGTGCAATGGCAAGTGCACTTAAACCACATTCTCAGTGTGCTCTGTGCTTTTCTCTCCTTTCAGACAAAACCCAGAAACTACCTTTGAGGTGTATGCAGAAGTGACCCACTCAGGAATCAGCTGCATTGGGAAAGGTACTGCTTTGTACTGTAATTCTGCCTGTTTATTGGTTGAAACTGTTGGTAAGAACCATGTTTTGGGAGATCATGAAGTATATTTAATACTGTGCTTTTCTAGCTCTTAGAGATATCCTAATCACTGGTTTTGTGGAATCCTGTACAGTTAGGACTAATAAAGAGAAATTCTTGCCTCTGTCCCTGATTGTGGGCAATTTTCAAATTTCTTTGACTGTTTTGCCCTTTTTTTTTGTCTCTTAAAATAGAAATAACTTTCTTCATTAGGTTGAAAAAGTGCTTTTTCAGGTTGGTATTTGCTGCTCATGTAAGAAAGGGGTAGTTAAAAATAAAAAAAATGCTCTTAAAACATCTCGTGTGGAATTTATTTTTACTTCCTCTTTCTTACTTGTCTACAGAATTATTTTTATCTGCTCCCAGAATTCTTTGATCAAGTGACTTTATCTGGAAATAAGACATGGACACAGCTTGTGATTTGGTTAACTGTTTTTACCAAACACTGTTGTCCTGCCATAATTATGCAAGTGTTTTTTTCTGATATGGTTTTTGACAAGTATTCCAATGTTTATGCTAGAGATGTCCTGTAACTGCTGAAACCAACACCTAAGGGTATATGTGAATTTTTGACTGTGCTCCTGTGTAACCTGAGGAACTTGATCAAATAGGCAGGGAAAGCAAAGGCTGAAATTCATTTTCCCAGAATTTAGTTCAGTCTCTAGAATGCTACAGAAAGGAGGGATGTCAGCATTAAATAGTTATGATTAGTCAGCATATGCTGAAGTGCTGTTTCTTTTGTCAATTCTGGGGTGATCACATGGGTGCTGTAGATATGGTGCAATGAACCAAAAGAGGCAGTTGTGATATCTCAGTGGCTGGAAAGCCCCTTCTCTCCTGCTCTGCCTGCACAGAAGTCAAGGAGCTGCAGCTCTGGCCTGTCCTGCCAGAGCCTCCCTGGGAGTGGGACTGGAGACAGGCCTGGCTGTCCTCCTGCTCTGTGCCATCCCAGCTAGTCCAGGGAGCTGCAGGAGCCCTTTAATAGCTGCTCTTTGTTTCTGCACATCTGACCTGGATTCTAGTGCCAGAAAATCTGAACAAATTTGACCATAAACATTACATTGTACAGTACTAGTGTCTGGGTATAATCTTCTCTTTGAAGTTTGTTTGCATCCCCCTGGAGGGATTAATTCCCTGCTGTGGGAAGGTGGGTTAAAAAGCACGGAAACTACTTTACAGGTTTTTAATTGGAGAATTTAGTATACATTTTGTTCTATAAACCAACTGATTCTGTGGGAGTTTCACTTAGTTGTGTTTTTAGGTTTGTTGGATGTACTTCTAGGTGCAAAACCTTCAGAAATTCTTTTTAGGGAGTAAAAAAAGTTCTAAAAGTTGTTTTTGCAACTCATGTATTCTGAAGTTATTCATTCTCTCTGGGTATTCTTTTAAGAGATTTTTTTCCCAACCAATTATTTTTATATTTAAGAGGTGCCCTTTATTCTCAGAAGCCTTAGGTTTGTGTATCCCCAAATACTTTGTCATTTTGCTTCAAATGAAGATTGTTTGATTCTCTGCAGTGTCAACTGTACTTAACAGCTGTACCATGTCCCAGACAAATCACCATTCCAGAAATGCAGACCTAGAGACCTCACACCTGGCCCATCTTTGACAGGAGATTGAACTGGAGACCTCCTGAGGTCCTTTCCAGCCTGACTTATCCAATGATCCTAAGGTTTGATTTCTAGAAAGGTAAACTTCAGGATCACCTGGGAGATGTTTTGTATGAGGTACAAAGAGAAGAACTTCATTGCAAGCAAAGAAGCTGAAAAGGCAAACGTTGTTTTATTCCAACCCAGGCAGGACTCTGCCAAACCACACTGAAATGTGGGAACTGAGAGAGGAAATGATCCCTGGATCAGCCTACTGTGGTCTCGCTGTCCTTTCCCCCCTGGATTGTTTAGCAATGGTGCTCATCTCTGCTCAGCACTGTATGTTTTTGGCACGTGAAGTCTTTGGTGTGCTTTACAATTCTGGCATTCAGTTGTATCTAAAGGCTGTGTTTGTGCTTTTCTTTGTTGGGTTCACAGATCTTACTTGGAAACTTATGGATTTTTTGTACTGAGTCCCTTGAAGTAAACGGGATGTCTTTGTTTTGAGAACTGTGAAGCAAGAAAGCTGCAGCTGTGACTGGGAATGTTAAGATGAAAATTCATTATTAAAAATGTGTCTCCATAGGAGAAGGGGATACCAAACTGTTTCTTTGCCTGGTGACTGTGGTTTCTGTGGCTCCTGGGAGCTCCCCTTGGCTAGCTGAAGCTCAGTCAGTGTGTGTGGTTTCCCTGCTCCCACCCTCTGCACGCTGCCTGTTTGTGTTTGGTTTGTCCAGGAGCTCCTTGTTCATCCCTGCAGGCCTCCTGTGTTCCCTCTTTGCAGGATGTGCTGCTCCTGAGCTGGGAGCCTTCTCACCACAAGTGAGAAGAAGCAAACCAGAATAGAAAGAGCAGAGTCTGCGTTTTACAGTGACAGTACATGGAATTTATCCAGTGAGAAATCCGTCTTGTGTCAGGTGTAAGTATGTCAGGGATAGGAAGTTACAAGTCTGGTGCTTCTCACCAACTCCCACACACTTACTTTCAGAAAAAAAAATAGTCATGGTTTGATTTTAAAAATGAAACATTCTAGGGAAAACATTGACCAATAGTGAAAGGAATTAGTTTTGATGGTCAGTCTGTGCCTTTGCTGTGCACTCACAGGAATTGTTACACACTGGGGATAATTCGAGAGCGAGAGAGCAGCTTTGTGTCAAATACTACTCTTTTCCTGGATCTCTTTTCATATTTTTAATCTTTGTGTAAAGGAAGGAATCAAAGTGTTTTCTGCCACTGTGATTTGTGTATTTGCCATGGCATCTCATAAAAGTGAAACTTCCCAGAAATGGAGGCAGTAAATTACAAAGAGCTTGTATTGTTTCTTTTACAAATGATAGCTGCTTAAGCACTTGAGCACTTCTGGAAATCCAGTTCTAGCCTTTTGATACGTTGTAAGCAAGTGCATTGCAACTGTTTCCTATTTTTTTAACCTCAGCTGAAAGATTGTTTTGGCGTTTTTTTGAGATGCAGAAGTAGAAAGAATCCACTATCAGTTTTTGTTTAAATACCTCTATAAAGAAAGTGAAAGCTTACTACTTGTGAAATTTTTCTTTTAACTTTCAAAGCACTTTGTGATCTTAAAACTGCTGCAGATCATTCATCAGAAATAGGATGTGACAAATTTAAGGCTCTGGCTGGACCCCAGCCAAAGATTCTCCCTTGTTAGATGGGGCTGTGAGGAGAATTGTAGTCTGACTGTCAAACTGTTCATGTAGCAAAAGAGAATTTGTTAGTCTAAAGTAACCGATCAAAATAGTCTCTGAAGTGAGAGCATTTGAAAGTAAATGCTCACAAGAGTAGGACACCCCCTACACCCCTGTCTGGGAGGACGTACCACGCTTTTGTGTGGGGTTTTTGTGTTCTTGCCAAAGCAGACATTATAAAAGTATGTCAAATCTGTAGCTTTACCATGTAGTGTGCCAAAAGGCCTTTCTCTCCAAGGACCTCATCTTTCATCTTTTTGTGAGTGTAGCATAAATTCTTGCTGTGTGTTCAAGGAAAAAGCTGAAATGGTTTAGTACAGCTAAAGGATTTCTTTCTTGTTTTATTTTTTTAAGAACCGTGGTAAGTTAGAAGCCTAAATGCAACCGTGTGGACAAAGTGTGTGTTAGAGTTTAACAAATGTTCACTGGATTAGGAAAGGAAATGTAGTTTATGCTACTTCTTTTATGACAGAATTTAAAGGGTCTTGCTGTAAGACTCGCCATGTGCTTCTTTCTTTTCTCGAAAACATACCACTAAGTTGAAAAGGGAGATGAATCTTAGAAGGAAACTATTAACTCTGAGGTAGTTTATCATTGTTTGAGTGAAAGGATGAAATTTGCATTTGAATTGGCTCTGAGAGTAGCATGTACTACTAATCTTGTTCCTACTAGAAGCTTGTGAGTAGTTTAAGTACTTCCTTCTTTACTTTTCATGTTCTAGCCTTGGGTTGTAATAGCTCTTTCCCTCCCTCCCCCCCTTCCCAGTAGATCACAAATATATAACTTAAACTAATCCTTAACTCTGCTGGGAGCAGTCACCGTGTGCTCGGCCCGAGATTATTCTGCAGCTGTCGCTGTGCTTTCCCTGGCACGACTGTCACAGGTAAGAGCTGGCAGGTCTCTGTCTCTGCCAGGGCAACCCTGCTGCCCCTTGGCATTGCCCTCTGCCACAGACTGTGCTGGGAGCAGGGCAGCACCTCCCGGGTAGATGGAGGATGTTCCTGAACAGAAGCAAAGTTCCTGGAGTAGGATTAAGTTAAGAGTTGGTCATTCAGAAGTTTGTAAACCTTACCCCTGCAGCTCTGAGGGCAACATTTATTTTTGAAGGTGAAAACATGTTGTTGGTTCAAATCTGCCCATTCTGTGTTGAGAAATAAGTAACATGCTGAAGGTTTAGGAATGACAAAGGAAGTGCAGAGTTCAGGTATCTTTCCATGAAATAAGGACTTTCTGTTGAACATGGGCTGGAATCCCAAGTTTCCCTGTCCCATCTTTCCAGTGTTATGTTGCTACACCAAACTTCCTAAAGCAGGATTGGAAAAGTAACCAAACCTAAGTAGATAGGTGGGATTTGGGAATTCTAATTCTCCTGAGATGCTGCTTTGTTTTTCTGCTTCCATTTGATTGCTTTGCTTCTCAGTGCAAACAAGGAGGAAGATTTTAACAAAGAGCTAACTGGGACTGCAGTGTCTGGGTAAGGCAAGAGCAGTGTTAGAGCTGATTTGTTGGAAGACAGTTCCCAGTTTGTTTTTTACAGTATAAATGAAATACAGAACTCAATTTGATGAGAAACTCACTTGATGAAAAAAATATTAGAATCTGTCATATTGCAAGCCATGGTAAATTTTATCTAACACATTTTAAGTCATGTTCT